ATACTCTTGGTAGCTTGCCAGGTTCTCCAAAAGGGGCGGAAGAGTTGAACCTGGATGGGCTACATTGGCCCTGTGCAAGGAAAATGTCCTACCTTTAATGTACTGATGTCTTTTTATTTCTTTATGAAGTTCAGATTTCTTTTCCTTCTGCCCTGCCTCCGTTATCTCTCTAGGGTTTCCTTTGCTCTTGGGGCATATCAGGCAAGAGACGCCTGGCACCACCAGCCTGACAAGTGCTTGGACTAGTCAGATTTGCAAGTAAATTTTGAGTTTTCATTTTTTTTTTTTTTGATTGCATACAGTTGAAACTGCTTCTCTGCGTTTTTTTAGAGGAAAGTTACTATTCTAGTGGATTTGGAATTTTCTAGTTCAGGGAAATTCTTCTGGTTGAACAGGTAGGGTTTCTTTACTAGGTTGCAAGGACAGGAAAGGTTAGGTTGTTTTTATTCTCTTTATTCTGTTCACAGACCTTTGGAAGTCTCCATTTTTTTTTTTTTTTTTTGCTTTTTTTCTTTATCTTCCCGTTGGTGAGAAGTGGAGGGGAAGATGTCTTTTCCTTGCCTGTATTCTTTACCCAGAGCCTTATCTTTCCAATATTTCCTCTTCTTATTCTGTTGACTTTTACCTCTGTTCCCAGAAGTTACTATGCTTATGAGGCGAACAGTTACAATATCCAGGAAAAAAAATGATCAGTTACAGGAAGAAAAACAATGTCAGTTACAATTTTCAAGGAAGAAAACATGGTCTAGCACTAGGTTCCATAGGTCACAACTTTCTCACACCTGGGGTCTGTGATAAACAGGAGAGAATGTTTACACCTAAAGGTTAGCTAGGTCTGAGATATGTGAGAAGGGGAAGCTGCTGCTTTGTACTGCAGGAACTTGCTGGCCATGAAGGGTAGGTTTGGCCTTTTCCATATCAATGGGACTCACAAGCTTAGGCTGTCCACTTAGTGCAAAGTGGATTCCTGGTTCTGGTTCCTGCTTGCAGGGCAGCATTTAGGGACTCATCTTCATGATCTGGTTGGGAACCAACAAGCTCTCAAACAGCAATAATAGCAGTACTCTTATAGAGCAATTTGTCTTATGATCATTAGCACAGTACTAGCCTCAGTAGCATGTGTTACAATTATACACCGTAAACAAGTGGGAGGGAAGAGAGGGAAAAGAAAACACTATCTTTGCTTTTTTATCTAGAAAGTAGTAAAATTTTCTGTTCTTGAAAGAGAAGACCATACTGGAAGACTCACAGGATTTAGAAATGTTACACAAAGAAATGACACTCCTAACTCTATATCTGACATGAAGATATAATGGGCTAGAATAGAGAGACTGAAAATGAACTCTCACTTCTGAACAAGAGTTTTAAGACCATTTGATGTGGAAAACTGTTTACCAATTTGTAAAAGATGTAGTTTAAGTTTTAATTCATCCTAAATATCGGAATAAACTCAAAATGGATCAGACATAAATAGGAAAGAATTAAGACTTTCAAAAAAAAAAAAGACTTCATAAAGCCTTAGGAAAAAGCAGGTGGGAATCATCATGAAACAATTTGGTGGTCTTTCTCAAATATTGCACCAAAAACATAGGCAACAAAAAATGTTATAGAGAAGTTTGACTTCATCAAAATTAAACCTTTTGTGTATCAAGGAATATATCTGCAGATGATATCTGGTAATTATTCAAAATATACAAAAACCCTATAACAATAAAAATTAAAACCCAATTAAAGAATAGGCAAAAGACATAAGTATTTTTGCAAAAAAGATATTAAAAAACAAGCATATAAGGAGATACTCCTTCTATCAGTGATCATTAGAGAAATGCAAGTCAGTAGCACCATGAGAAACTCCCTAAGATAGCTAAAATCAAACAGACAGAAATAAAATGTTGGTTAGGATGTGGAGAAAATTTGAACCCACTGGTATATACATGATAAAATTGTTTTTAAGTTTTACAAAGGAAGGAGATTCTGAGTATATGTTACATCGATAAACTTTTTAAAATAAGTGATTATTTTATTTTAAACAAGTAATTATTTTAAAAATCAGTGATTTTTTTTAAATACTGAATGAATTTAAACAGACTAGGATGGACAAACATAACAATGATCCCACTTTTTTTTTTTAATGTAAGAAAATAAAACTGGTTAGCAAAGTTTTGAAGAGGTGGGGATTATTTAATGGTCATAGCTTTCTCATGGGATAATGAGCATGTTCTGGAAAAGGACAGTGATGTTTTTATAACATTCAGTGTTCTTCGTGGTACTGAACATTGCAAATTATTTTTTAAATTATTTTTAAAAAATTTTAATGAGCCCGTTAGTGAGTGTTGCTAGGCGACCGCCAGTGGCGGGGAGGGGAGTCCCTGGGAACCCGAAGCCTGCAGGATTGGGTCAAAGGAAGGCATGGCCTAGTGCGGGACAGCATGGCTTTACTTCAAGATGAGTTTGCTTTTGTTCCAAACTGACTAGCAAAAAGGAAGTTGACCAGACAATAAAATGCACTGCGAAGAAGGTGTTGGTGCTCAGGTTTGGGAGAGATGAAGATCCTATCTGTCTGCAACTGGATGATATTCTCGCTAAGACTGCTGCTGACCTGAGTAAAATGGCCGCTGCCTACCTGGTGGATGTGGACCGAACTCCAGCTTACACACACTACTTTGACATCAGTTATAACCCCTCCGCGGTGTTCTTCAATGGGCAGCACATGAAAGTCGATTGTGGGTCTCCGGATCGCACCAAGTTTGTGGGAAGTTTCAAAACCAAACAGGATTTCATAGATTTGATAGAAAAATTTACCAAGGGGCAATGAGAGGGAAACTTACTGTCCAGAGCCCAATCGATCCCAAGAATATCCCCAAGTACGATCTTCTCTATCAAGACTTTTAGCACATTCACTGATGGCAGAGTTGATGGGAAGGTGCCTTTGGAAGCCGCTCTGAATGCAGCCAGCCTGGGCGCTGGCAGCCAGTGGAAACATGCCCAGTGCACCCTGGAGGGAGAAGTGGACTGGCATGGAAAACAGGCCCACGGTGGAAGGCTGGGCCAGCTGGCCAGGGCCTGCACTGCAGAGCTCCGGTGTAGGCTTTGGGTAGCAGGTCAGTCTCTTTTTGGATATCTCTGTTTGCTTGTCTGTAGGCCCTAAGACAGAGACCTCCGCTGCAAGGTTATCTGATACACAAATAGAAAGGAAAGTTTAAAAAAAAAATTTTAATGAAACAATGTAAAAGTTTGTTATATTTTACCACAATAATTAAAAGGTTCTGCAGGCTGCAGTACCGTGTTCTGTATTCTACTTCTTGGTGCCTTTTATTCTCCCAGAGGCTCCTCCCTGTTTGCATTGTGGTCATGCCCATCCATGACCATTTGTGTCCTCTTCCTTGCTCTCCATACTGTGTCTCCCTTGAATTCCTGGCAACTCTTCTTCAACCTACCCTGACTTCCTCACACCCTGTCACACAGCCTTTCCTCATGGCTGGGCTGCGATGTGTCTTCAGTGTTAACTAATGTGTAGGAGATGTTGAAAAGTGAAATTGAGAGACTAGACAAGACAGTAGAGTGGGTCTGGTGTTTACCTGGGCGGGCTCACCCAGCCTGCCGAGGAGCGGCCCCTGAGTACAGCGCCAAGGAGTAAGGCTGGAGCACTGATGGGTGTGGCCCCCAAACACCCTCCCCCCAAAAAAAGTGAAATTGGGTTGGCGTGGGTAAGAAAAGAGTAGAGATGAATTTGTATGCCGAATGGTCAGGGTGGCCCACCCAAAGCACCCACAGTGAGCGCTGAAATTTCGATGTCACACACACTTCTCAAGTGACAGCCAGGATGGTAGAACTGGATCTCAGGCTCAGGTGAATTAGTGGGTCTCTGCTTTCCCACGTGCTCAAGCCAGCCAGCCATGGGAGTCAAGGGAAAGACTTGGCTGGGGTTTAGTGTTTGGCATTGTTGGATTATATGAATTTAAGTCACATACATGGCTCAGCACTATTATGATTGGTTAGATTATTCTTTGGGCAGGAGCGATAGCACAGTGGGTAGGGCATTCACCTTGCACGCAGCCAACCTGACCGGCCTGAGTTCGATTCCTCCGCCCCTCTCGGAGAGCCAGGCAAGCTACTGAGAGTATTCCGCCTGCACAGCAAAGCCTGGCAAGCTCCCCCTGACATAATTTGATATGCGAAACACAGTAACAACAAATCTCACAATGTTACTGGGGCTGCACGAGCAAATCGATGAACAACGGGAGGACAGTGACAGATTATTCTTTAAATTTAGAAAGTCTGTTGCTTTGCTATTGTCTAATTTTTATATGGTTTGCACTTCTTTCACTCTTGGTTTAAAGTTGTCTGAATGTTAAGGGCTCTGACTTTTTTGGTTTGTTTTGTTTTGGGGGTCCAAACCCAGCTGTATGCCCTACTCACTGTGTACTCGCTCCATCCCACTATTCAGGATCTTAAATGTGGATAGTCCTCAGTGCTTCTGCCTAGATAGTGACAGTAGTTTAAAGTTCTTGGAAAATGTGGTATGGTATGAGGGTCCAGAAGACAGTACAGCAGGCAAAGTGCTTGCCTTGTATACAGCCAACCCTGAGTTCAATCCCTGGCACCCCATACGGTCTCCTGAGGACCACCAGGAATGATACCTAGTACAGAGCCAGAAGTAAGTCCTGAGCACCACCAGGTGTGGCCCAAAACAAAACAAAATGGGTGTGGGGCAAGGAAAATAAGCTTAAATAATAGAGCACATGCCGGACATGCAAAGATCCTGGACTCTGTCCCCTTGTGCAGCCCCTGAAATGTGATTATGTCTGTGTCCCTCAGGCCCCGTTTAGCACTGCCAGGAATAGCGCCAGGCCTCCAAACTTTTTTTAAGGTTAAAAAGAAATAAAACCTTTAAGAAAAACACAGTAGAATTTGATGGTTCACTAACCTCCTTAGGGTGACCGCCTCCCTCCCTCCTGCCATCCTGAGTCCTGGCCGAGTGAGACTGTTCTGTGTTGCAGGCACACATGGCATTCAGAGATGTGGCTGTGGACTTCACCCGGGAGGAGTGGCTGCTGCTGAGCCCTGCACAGAGATCTCTCTACAGGGAAGTGATGCTGGAGACCTACAGCAACCTGTGCTCCCTGGGTAAGCCCAGTATCTTCCTAGGTCTCCACTCTGCTCTCCCCTTGCTTTTCATTTTATTAAATAATTTTTTTGAAGAACTATGACTTACAAAGTTATTGATAGGTGAATTTTAGGCATATAATATTTCAACACCAGTCCCGCCACTAGTATCAGCTTCCTTGCACCTGTTCCCAGATCCCAGATTCCCTCCCCAACCACACGCCCTGCCCCATCCCTGCCCCCCTCCACACCTGTCAACTTGACAGGCTCCTTACAAAGTTTGGTGGTTGCAGTTGCAGCTTAGATTTCATGTTCTGTGTTGTTGAGTCTGTGTTTGGGTATATGGTTCTACCCTGGACTTCCACTCTTTTCCCTGGGCGTGTCATTAGATTATACCTGAAGGAGGCATTTATTTTGCTTCCTCACATTGCCTTTGGATTGGGCACAAAAAAAAAAAAAGAATTCGGTTTTGGGGGTATGGTGCCGCCAGCAGGTCAATCTGTACCTGTGAGGTGAGTGCATCAGCAGCCTGATGATGCCTTCAGACTTCTAGATATCCCAAAATTGCTGCTGTGCCTTTGGCCAGACCTCAACAACTTGGGACCAAGTTTACCAAGAAAGTAAACGATCAAAAGTTAGGTATGTGGGAGACACACTCACAAACCACCTCCAACTCAGCTGTATAATTGAAGGCAAGGTCTCTCTGGTTCCTGATCAAACTGCTGAACGGCCATGATCCCAGAGACTCAGAAACCAATCTCGGAACCCAGTGGCTTTTGGTAAAGATGCATCCGGTCCCTGCAGTAGGTTACCTGCGCCGGGCCACCCCAGGTGGGAATAGGTTTCGTACCTTGGCCTGTTCCCCCTGGTGGCTCGGTGACCGCCATTCTCCAGAGGCCATTGAACAGTCAGGTTTGGGCTTGCAGTGACGAGACACGTGGGGCCTCACGGGGATAAGGGCGGAGCCGGCCCTTTTCTCCCTTCCCCAATGAGACCCCAAGTCACCGCCCACAAACAGCCTCTGTGGCTCTTGACCAAGCTGCTTAACGACCATTATCCCAGAGACTCAGGAACAAATCTTGGAACCCAGCAGGTTTTGGCAGAAGTCCTTCCAGATTTAATTGTTAAAATTTTGTAATTCCAAAATCACATGGCCACAACTGCAGCCATGTGACATCATATGTTATTCATAACCAGCAATAGAAAACAAACTGTCTGTGGTTGCCTTTTCGGCAGTTCTGAGTGTTGGGGTAAAATTCCAAATAATAATGGTGGGTTTGGGGTCGAAGTCTTGAATAAAATCAAAGTGGAGAGAGAGTAATATGGAAATCATCTGCCCCACAGGTAGGGAAAGGGTGTGGGGTGGGGGGATATACTGGGGTTTTTGGTGGTGGAAAATGGGCACTGGTGAAGGGACGGGATTTTCATCATTGTATGACTGAGACTTAAACCCAAAAGCTTTGTAACTGCTCTCACGGTGATTCAATAAATAAATTTATAAAAAAAAGGGGGGAAAAAGTGAGGTGAAGTTCATGCCCAATTCAATCAGCCTAATCAATGGCAGAATAAATAGCAATACTCCTACATTAAAAAGATAAAAACATTCATTTTCATGATTTTCCCCAGGGAAGGTCCAATTTTAGAGGTAAAAATAGGTGTCTCTCGCACACGTGTGTGTGCGCGCACACGCGTGTGCATGTGTAAGAAGTTTGTTATGTATGTGGGGTACACTATATTGAGGCCTTCTCCTTCCTTCACCTCACAGCCCCTTTGAGACTCTCTGCCTAAATTATCTTTTTCTGTTTTGTTTTTTAAATGAGGGAGATGTCATGCAGCCAGCATGTCAGAGGCTCCATGTTCTTCCCTGTCCTTTCCCTTCCTGCCATCCATTCCCAGGAGCTTGCTGACTGTCAGTTCTTGCCTCCCACCTTTGAATTTCCCCATACAGTTTTGAGTTCATGCACAGACCCTAGAACCTATAACCAGCGTCACCTTCTCTTTCCCTGTGTATAGGAATTCCATTTTCTAAACCCAAAATCATCACCCAGCTGGAACAAGGGAAGGAAACATGGAAGGAAGAGAGAAAATGCCCATCTGCAGCCTGTGCAGGTGAGTGGGGAGCATCGGCCAATGTCACGGAGTTGCAGTGCTGTGGGCAGGAGCAGAAGAGGCTGGGCTCCGTACATGGCTGCTGTGTGCAGGTGTGTGGTAGCTCTTCCCACACCATCAGTCTCCGCCCCCCTGCCCCCCATCCCCGTGCTGGCCTTTCCTGGTCTCACTTTCTCCTCCTTCTCCTCCTCCTCTTCCCCCTCCCCCTCCCCCCCCATGGTGTTTCACCTCTCTGCCCTCTACGTCACTCAGGTCTCCTTCTCTCTCTCTTCTCTCTCTCTCTCTCTCTCTCTCTCTCTCTCTCTCTCTCTCTCTCCCCCCCCGTCTCTCCCCCTCTCCCTCCCTTTCTCCTTTTTAAGATGCACCATAGCACTGTCCACTGCGGGGGGCCCTGCCAGACCACTCTCCGGCCCGCAGAGGTGGCCCTAGGATCCGTAGGTGCAGGGAAGGACCAACCGAATGAACATAAGACACAAGAGACAGAATGCAGTTCAGAAACAGAGAGAAAAAGGGACAGACTTTATTGGGGGCAATCAGGGTATATATCCATTAGTGAGGCAGCTACACAAAAGGTCGTGCCCATATATGGTTAGGAAGGTTTGTTTTCACATATCACGCATAAAGTTTATGCGTATCTTGTACCAGACATGAGGTAGTTACACAAAGGGCCATGTCCATATGATTTACCAGAAATGAGATAGATACACAAAGGGCCATGTCCATATGATTTATAAAATTTATATGCATCACGAACCAGACACGAGATAGTTACTTCTTGTTATTACTGACAGCCATGACAGATGTTCTCAAGATAACCATACATCAAGATAACCATACATAGCACTGGCTTTGCCTGTTGCGGGGTCACGTAGGTCAAGACAATCATACATAGCACAGGCTGTGCCTGCCGCGGGGTCGTAGGTCAAGATGACCATACATATAGCACAGGTACTTAGGCCCTTGGTCATTTAAAGGGCCAGCTTCCCACAGTCCTCCCCTTGTTCATCGATTATCTCAAGTAGGCACCAGTAACATCTCCACTGTGAGACTTGTTACTGTTTTTGGCATATCAAATATGCCACAGGGAGCTTGCCAGGTTCTGCTGTGCGGGCTTGATACTCCCGGTAGCTTGCTGGGCTCTCCAAAAGGGACGGAGGAATCGAAACCAGGTTGGTCATGTGCAAGGCAGACGCCCTACCTGCTGTGCTATAAAAATGCTGAGTGAATTACAGACAGCAGGGCCTGGGTGATAGCTCAAAGGGCAAGTGGGTCATGCTTGCATGCTTTGCTTACAGGAGGCTTGGGTTCAATCTCTAGCATGACATGGTCCCCCAAGCACCATAGGAACATTTGATGAGTAATCCTGAGCACCATTGGGTATAGCAAAAAAAAAAAGCAAAAAAATACTAGAACTAAAAATTTTTAAAAAGCTTTAAGGAAAGCTTAAAGAAAAAAATAAAAAGGTCAGTACAAAAAGCAGAATTCTGAAAACCTGTGAGCGAATTCTGAAAACCTGTGAGCGAATTCTGAAAACCTGTGAGCTAAGATTGAATTCTGTGTTTGTAAGTGGTTACCTTTTCAATGGTTAATGTAATATTCTCAGAGTTGCCTTTTAGTTCCCAAAGCTTAAACTGTTTAGCCCCATTGTGGTCCTCGAAACCCCACCAGGAGTGATCCCTGAACACAGCAGGGTATTGCCCCAAAACCAAATATAATTTTCAATTTTTAGTATATAAGTTTTTTTATTTTGCCCTGACTTAGTTCCTCCCAATAGAAAATAAGAATGAACATCACCTGAGCATCACTGGGAATGACCCAAGAAATAAGAGACAGAGAGGCATAGAGACAGAGACAGAGATGGAAAGAAAGACACAGAGACAGACAGTCAGTGACAGAGACAGAGGTACAAAGAAGGAGAAAGAATAAGCAAAAAAGAAGGAATAGGCCTGGGATGAAAGTTAGGTGAAAGTTTATCAAGTTCACTTGTTTATTACCAAGGAAAATGTGTTCTGGCCGTTCTGATGAGATCTTCAACCAGACTTCTATGATTGCTTGGTCTTTTTTTAACCCTATCAAGTGACAAGAGCCAGTTGCGATGGGACAGGACATTAAGTGTTGACATCTCTTACACAAGTGGTGTAAGAAGAAAATACCCCTTTTGAGTGTTGACAAGATAATCGTTTACATTAATTATAGAAATCAACAGAACTTAGATAAGTCAGGGCTCCCACAGATGGCGCATAAAGTGTGGTCCTTTGCCAAAACCATGTAGAAATTCTGGCAGAAAGTAATTCTCTAATAATGAGTAGCTCTTGGGAGATTCTAGCCCAGGTTTCTCACACACGATCTCTTTAACCAGTCCTTCACACTGCTTCCTATACAGGCTTCTCCAGGCGGAATGCCTCTCCTCTTTATCTATGCCTTTGTTCTCAGAGGGAAAGAAATGAAGCCATTTCCCATTTGGGTCTTAGGGTTAGAAACCTGTCAAGGAAATGATGCCCACTAAAAAATGTCTGATGGACATAGTTTGTAGCAATGTGGCAGATTGTGAACTTGATGATGAGGTTAACATATTCATCTCCTTTATTGAGCAGAATCTGCCTGTAAGACTTTAAAATCTGATGCCTAAGTGGGTGTTTTTGCATTGTGATGGAAGATAGATGTGACTGGCAAGACATGTAGGTCTTGTAAAGGAAGACTTGATTGGACAGAACGTAGGATTCTTTGGGTTTTATTTTTATTAATTATTGTTATTATTGTTGGTCTTTTTGGGTCACACTGTATGATGCTCAGGAGTTACTCCTGGCTCTGCATTCGGGATTTACTCCTCGCAGTGCTCGAGGGACCATGTGGGATTCTGGGGATCGAAACCAGGTCGGTCAGCCGAGTGCAAGGCAAATGCCCTACTCGCTGTGCTGTTGTTCCTGCCTCAGAGAGTTCTTGGGTTTTAAGCAATTCCAAGCCATGGAGACAGGGTGGGATTGTTAGTGCAGCCCTGCTCAGCTTCAGTTCTGACGTGGTCTTTCTCTCAACAGCAGAGGCAGTGCCAGAACTTCACCTCTGTCCTTTCTGCCCGTCAGATTTCTCCAGTCAGAAGCTTCATGTCCAGCGTGTGCTGTGTAATCATCCTCCCTGGATCTTTACATGCTTGTGCCCAGATGGTAATGTCCATCCAGGGGATCCATGCCTGGGTGACCAGAAGCAGCAGCCACAAGTATCTGATCCGAGTCCCTGGAGTGGCAAAGCAGAAGGTCAGGTGAGGGAAGATGTCAAGCCTTTGTTTGGCAAGACCAAGAGGACTTCAGGAGCATTCTCCAAGCTACCCCAGAGGCAGTCAGTCAGTTCTAGGAATGCTACCCGAGAGGCAGAAGCAGCAGCCATCCCTGCTCAGGTGGGGAGCCCTGAGGAAGCAGACAAGCTATTGAAGACAATAGAAGTCTTAGGGTTCGGAACCGTCAACTGTGGTGAGTGTGGACTAGGCTTCAGCAAGATGACCAACCTGCTTAGTCACCAGAGGATACACTCTGGGGAGAAGCCTTATGTGTGTGGGGTATGTGAGAAGGGCTTTAGTCTAAAGAAGAGCCTGGCCAGGCACCAGAAGGCCCACTCAGGGGAGAAGCCCATTGTGTGCAGGGAGTGTGGGCGAGGGTTTAACCGGAAATCAACGCTTATCATACACGAAAGAACACACTCTGGCGAAAAGCCATACATGTGCAGCGAGTGCGGGAGAGGCTTTAGTCAGAAGTCCAACCTCATCATCCACCAGAGAACGCACTCTGGAGAGAAGCCCTATGTGTGCCGGGAGTGCGGGAAAGGCTTCAGCCAGAAGTCAGCTGTAGTCAGGCACCAGAGGACACACTTGGAGGAGAAGACCATTGTGTGCAGCGACTGTGGTCTGGGCTTCAGTGACAGATCCAACCTTATCTCACACCAGAGGACACACTCTGGGGAGAAGCCTTACGCCTGCAAGGAGTGTGGACGATGCTTTAGGCAGAGGACCACACTTGTCAACCACCAGCGGACACACTCAAAGGAGAAGCCTTACATGTGTGGTGTTTGTGGGCACAGCTTCAGCCAGAATTCCACCCTCATCTCACACAGACGAACGCACACTGGAGAGAAGCCTTATGTGTGTGGGGTGTGTGGGCGAGGCTTCAGTCTGAAGTCACACCTTAACAGACACCAGAACATACACTCAGGGGACAAGCCCATTGTGTGCCAGGACTGTGGGCGTGGCTTCAGCCAGCAGTCCAATCTCATCCGACACCAGAGGACACACTCAGGAGAGAAGCCCATGGTGTGTGAGGATTGTGGACGAGGCTTCAGCCAGAAATCCAACCTCATTGCACATCAGAGGACACACTCAGGGGAGAAGCCATATGTGTGCCGGGAGTGTGGTAGAGGCTTCAGTCACCAGGCGGGTCTCATCAGGCACAGGAGGAAACACTCGAGGGAGAAGCCTTATGTGTGTAGGCAGTGTGGCCTGGGCTTGAACAGTAAGTCTGCTTTAGTCACGCATAAACGGGTACATTCAGAAGAGAAGCCTTGTGTCTGCAGGGAATGTGGCCAAAGCTTCCTCCAAAAGTCCCACCTCATCATCCATCAGATGGAGCACCAGGAGAAGCCTTACGTGTGTAAGACCTGTGGGCAAGGCTTTAGCCAGAAGTCTCATCTCAACAGACACAGGAAGATGAAGTCTGTCCATCACAAACCTCAGCTCCAACACCATCCCGAAACCCTTTCAGGGCAAACTTTAGACCTCTTACCACCTTCTTGAGAGGTGGTGGTGCAAACTAAATAAAAACTTGTATTCATCAAATGAAGCAGAGAAATGCATTCCATAAGTGGTCAAAGGTGTTTGGCTTAGTTTACTTTCTCCACACTGTCTTCTTCATGTTCCGTGGCTGTTTGTTCTAATAAACTACTCTTCTTTGTAAGACAAGAATGGCTTGGCTGTGTATCCTTCACTCGGATGTAAAGATAATAAATATGGAGTTGTTCCCATACCTTGAACTCAAGTCCATATTGCTCATGAATTTAATTCCTTAGAAGGCTTAAGAACTCAGCCTCTCATATTTATTGCCAATACAGTTGTATAGAGAGAGACCTTGGAACTATATTTAAGGGTTCGGTGTGGGAAGGGAATCTTCCATTGTCAAAAAATAATGACTTCTTTCTCCCGTAGCTGTCCTCCTTCCCTTGGCTTCTGTGATACCTCCCATTCTTGTGTTTTTCTACTAATAAAATCTAAATTTTCATTTCTTTATCATCCAAAATCACTATTATTGCCTGTTTTTCAGAGTTTAGTCCTTGGTTTTTCCATCTTTTTTTGTTCCTTTTAACAATACACTATCCTCAGTACTTCAAGGGGACAGTCTGAGGGCTTGGTCTATTTATGACCATGCAAATTTTTGGTCTCAGAGCTTTGGATTTCTACTTACATTCTCCAAAGTTATGGATAATTCCTGTTCCCACACAGATACTAGCTGTGCCACCTCATTAATACTCTAATAAAACTAATATTAACTATGTTCTTTCTGTAGCTTTCCAATAAGAGATAAGACTCATGAAACCAAATTCCTAAATCAGTAGGATTTAAGACTCCTTAGTATCCAAGATTCAGTCCCAGGCCGACTAGCCAAAACCGACCAAGAAGGACCAGAGCAGTTTTACTGGCAGGTAAGTTGCTTGCCTTGCACATTGTCAACCCAAATTCAATCCATGGAACCCCATAGGGTCCTCAAGCTCTGTCAGGACTGATCCCTAAGTGCAGAACCAGGAGTAAATCTGAGCACTTCTGGGAAGGACCTCTCTCCCTGCCTCACCCATCCCCCCCCCCCCCCCATATCCCATCCACAAACTGGCCAAGGTCTGTTAGCCACATACCCTTAGTAGTTCTCAGGTCACAGTGCTAAAGATATTTAACTCAATGTGAGTATTCTTAACTATACTTATGTCTGTTGTTTCATTCCAGACCAGTTTTGCTCAAAACAAGTGAACTTTTTCATAAAGATTACCTCAAGTACAACTGTAACTTTCATTTTTATGAAGAGTTTAGAAGATTTAAGTATACAGCTCCAGACCCTCTTAGCAATAGAAAATCATTGATATATTTTTAAGGATCTCCAATAATGCATCGACATTCAATTCAAAGCAGAGAGCATTATGCCTTGAAGATCTTCGTAGATGAAGTGAACTTCAATGAAAAGACATGAATCGTGTGACATTGTAATCAAAAGAGCAGATTCATCTGAAAAGGACAGAACACCTACTGGGTGGCAGGTTGAGAAATCTAACTCGGGAATAGTGGCCATTTATTTAAAAAAAAATGTAACACTGACACATGGAGATACTGAGGGGACTGATGCCCAGAATTTCATCTCCACAAAAAGTTATTGCCACATAGTACATGCCTAGATATAACATCCTTTTTATATTAGACTTAAAAATAAATACACATCCTGAAAGTAGACTATAGACCAAACATGATTGCCATTCAATGCCTCTTTTGCAAACCACAACACCCAAGAGGGGAGAGAGAACAAAAGGGAATGCCCGTCACAGAGGCAGGAGGGGATGGGGGGTGGGAGAGATACTGGAATCCTTGGTGGTGGGAAATGGGCACTGGTGGAGGGATGGGTATTTGATCATTGTATAATTGAAACCCAAACACAAAAATTTGTAAGTATACAACTGTACCTCATGGTGTCTAACTAATAAAAAGTTAAAAAGTTAAAAAATAAAAGAATTCTGAGATGAAATGCTGAGAATGTTCAAGGTACTCAGAGAATCAATGGAGAAGACATCCAGAAAATCAAAGGAAGAAATGAAAGAAACAGAACGGATAGTCGAGAAAATACAGGAAGAAATGAGAGCAGAAATAAAGCTACAAAAAGAAGTGTCACAAAGGATTCGAAAGATGAAATTAAAAACTCAGTGGGTGCCCTCAACAATAGAATGACTACAGCCGAAGACAGGATCAGTGAGCTTGAAGATGAACAGCAGAAATCATATAGGCAACAACAATGGGGAAAGACCTAAAAATGCTGTAAGGCAAATCAGAGACCTAGGGTATGACGCCAAGAACAACAACATTAGAATCATCAGAGTACCAGAAGGACAGGGAGGCAACCCCAATGAAAAAGCCACAGTGAAATAAATCATTGCTGAAACCCTCCAAGCCCGAAGACCATGGTGGGATATGGTGAAAAAACTCAATGAAATGAACACCTTACCAAGAATACTTTATCCAGCTAAACTCTCACTCAAACTTGATGGAACAATACACCATTTTATAGATAAACAACAGTTCAGGAACTTCATAGACTCAAAACCAAACCTAAAAGAAACATTAAAGGGGCTCGTGTAACACAAGAAGGAAAACACCTACAAGCACAACCAACTCCTACAGAAAGGTGGCATAAAAACCCATGACACTAATCTCTCTCAATGTCAATAGTCTAAATACACCAATCAAGACACAGAGTGGCAAAATGGATTGGGGAACTGAAACCAACATTCTGCTGCTGACAAGAAACTCATCTGAACAGTCAGAGCAAACACAGGCTCAAAGTTAAAGTATGGAAAACAATCCAGCAAGCAAACAGCTCCCTCAACAAAACTGGGGTGGTCATACTAGTATCCAACAACATAAATTTCAGGTTGAAAAAGATTAGAAGGACAGCGAAGGCCATTTCTTTTTATCAAGGGATACATACAATAGGAAGAAATCACACCCTTAAATGTATACACACCTAATGAGGGACCAGCTAAATATGTGAAACAACTGCTAACAGATTTTAAGGAGGACATTGCTAGCACCACAATAGTAGTCGGAGACTTCAACATTGCCTTACCACCTCTGGATAGATCAAGAACAAAACTCAACAAGCAAACATTGGCTTTGAAGGAAGAAATAGAAGAGAGAGGGCTAATAGATCTATACAGGGCTTTACACCCCCAAAAGAAAGAATACACATTCTTTTCCAGTGCACAGGGAACATTTTCCAAAATAGACCACGTGCTAGGCCATAAAACATTCGTCAGTAGAATCAGGAAGACAGAAATAGTATCAAGAATCTTTTCAGACCGCGATGTGCTGAAGATAGAAGCGAATCACACACAGACATAGAGAGCCAAATAAAACATCTGGAAATTAAATAACAATGTTGAACAACGAGTGGGTCAGGAAGGAAGTCAAGACACCTGGAAACAAATGAGAATGAAGATATGAGCTACCAGAACCTATGGGATGCAACTAAAGCCATATTAAGAGGAAGATTTATAGCTTTGCAAGCATTTGTAAGGAACAAAGGGCCTACATAGATAACCTGACCTCACAGCTCAAGATCTTAGAAAAAGACCACAAAATGAACAGAAACTTTCTCAAAGAAGAAATCCGAATGGCTGAAAGGCACAGGAGAAAATACTCTACATCTTTAACCATCAGGGAGATGCAGATCAAAACAACAATGAGATATCATTTCACACCACAGAGACTGGCCCATATCCAAAAGAACAAAAGCAACCTGTGTTGGTGCAGATGTGGTGAGAAAGGGACCCTCCTTCACTGCTGGTGGGAATGCCAACTGGTTCAACCCTTTTGGAAAACAGTATGGACGAATCTCAAAAAATTAGAAATTGAGCTCCCATTTGACCCAGCAATACCACTCCGGGAATATACCCCGGAGAGGCAAAAAAGTATAGTTGAAGTGACATCTGCACTTGTTTGTTCATTGCAGCACTGTTTACAATAGTTAGAATATGGAAAAAACCTGAGTGTCCGAGAACAGATGACTGGTTAAAGAAACTTTGGTACATCTACACAATGGAGTACTCTGTAGCTGTTAGGAAAAATGAAGTCATGAAATTTACAGACAAGTGGTACTACATGGAAAAGATCATGCTAAGCGAAATGAGCCAGAAAGAGAGGGACAGACGTAGAAAGATTGCATTCATCTGGGGAACATAAAGTAACAAAATAGACTAACCCCCAAGAATAGCTGTAATAAATACCAGGAGGTACACTCCATGACTTGGAGCCCAACCTCACACTCTAGGGGTAAAGGCAGCTCAGATAGAGAAGGGAGCACCAAATAAAGGGTGTTGGGAAGATCTGCCGAGGATAGGAGATGCATGCTGAAAGTAGACTATAGACCGAACATGATTGCCAACCAATGCCTCTTCTGCAAACCACAGCACCCAAAAAGAGAGAGAGAACAAAAGGGAGTGCCAAGCCACAGAGGCAGGGGGATGGGAAGGTGGGAGGGATACTGGGATTGGTGGGGGTGGACAATGGGCACTGGTGGAGGGATGGTTATTTGTATAACTGAAACCCAAGCACAAAAATTTGTAAGTCTACAACTGTACCTCATGGTATTTCACTAATAAAAATAAAAAAGACCAACAAAGGAACACAAATTTGGCTCAAGGAAAGAAATAATAAAACTTAGAGCAGAAATTAACAACATGGAAACAAAAAATTCCAAAAGGCCAATGAAACCAAGAGCTGGTTCTTTGAGAAAATGAACAAGATTGATAAACCACTAGCAAGACTCACAAAGAGAGAGAGAGAACCCTAATAAACCAAATCAGAAATGAAAAGGGACATCACAGAAGAGACCAATGAAATTCAAAAGATCATCAGAGACTACTTTGAGAATCTGTATGCCAAATAAACAAAAACCTAGAAGAAATGAATAAATTCCTGCATTCCTATAATCTCCAAAGATTGAACCAAGAGGACTTTGAATACCTGAATAGACCCCCTCATATCAAGGAAATTAAAACTGTAATCAAAAGTCTTCCCAACTCTTTGGCTGATCACAGCGCCCAGGAGGAGAGAGAGAACAGGGGGGAATGCCCTGCCACAGTGGCAGGAGGGGATGGGAGGATGGGGGGGGAGGGATATTATCCTGGTGGTGGAAAATGGGCACTGGTGGAGGGATGGGTATTTGATCGTGGTATGACCGAGATCCAAGCACAAAAATTTGTAAATCTACAACTGTACCTCATGGTGTTTCACAAATAAAAAAGAAAA